CTAGTGGATGCGCTTGCTCTTTATATTTCTCAAACAGCTAGGAAATCTAGGAAATCGACTGATCTACGTGAAATGTACATGCCCATTCCATTTCGGCTACAGTACATTGGGATGGCTGACACAAAAAGACAAGCTTACGTACACTGATAACGCTCATGTGGTAAAGCTGTCCGAATTTTTTAGAATTTCATGAATTGTAAAAGCTTATTGAACACCAAATGTTGCTGAGATGAACTCACGGACAAGTAATTCAGCCTCATGGTTTATCTTCTGCTGTTGCAGCCATTCTTTGCACTTTGCACTTTTTTCAGCTCCAAAAGAGGGTTTCTGTCTTCGTCTTCGAGCTCTTCAACCTCAGTAACTGTTCGTCTTCGTTGAAAAAATTTTCGTTTTCTACAGTAAAGCTTCTGGGTGGTACAGGATTTGCAGTTTCGGGTAATTGATCTATGTTGTCTTCGGGCGACTCGTCCAAATTTGCCACTATTATGGACAAAACTAATCGCCTCTTTCTCAGTTTCTTAGCTATTTTGCTCTCTGAGGTGCACATTGGTCGGTAGGTAGGTAAGGCCTGTTTTGAATTGTTGTTCCTCATTTGTTTGTTGTTGTTGTTGTTGTTGTTTTTTTTATGAATTTTTACAATTCATAAATATCAAGAATTAAAAATAAATAATATAAGGTACAGACAAACACGATCATCCTTCTACTACCTTCTCCTCCCTATTGGAGACAAAAACTAGCCAAAGCTGTTGCCCTGGGATTTAAGATGGCGTTCTTGAGTGAACAGAGTCGAGTTAGGGAATTATTTGATTCTGTGACTTTTGGAGTAGTTCGATCGCTTGGTAAGTCCTCTTTTCAAATACTTAATTTATACTTACTTTAACAGAAACGGGTAATTAAATTTAATGCAAAACTCTGATTCAAATTTCATGAAACTCGAGGTAAAAACTGAAGTAAGCTCAGCTGTGAATATGCCGCGCTTCCACTTTTTTTTTCAGAAAAGAAGCCAGGTGTAACAGATTTCCGTCTACTTGATAGACGACAAGCGGAAAAACACATTATCTTTACTTGGGAGATGGTAATATTGCATTTCCTGAATAAACATTAACGTGTGAAGTAACATTATATTGACCAGTGTGTTATGAGTAGCAAAAAACGATTACATACCATTCTCAACACTGCATAGAAACGAAAGATCTGTCCCAGCTAAAACTGAGAAGTGCTAGTGATCATCAGATGATGTTGTTTCCTTTGTTTTCAATTCCTCACCAGGTCATATAAAACCACACTTTGATAATCGCTGCAAGGTTTCTGAGCTGGATCCATGTGACAGCTATGGTTAAGTCTGTTTGGTTTACAAAGACATCAAAGCTGGTGGGTGAAGTTGGATAGTTCAAATAAAATTGTAGATTTTTCCAAGCTGCCAAATGGTTGATGTAGATGTTGTGGTTCGATTTTATCCTTGGTTCAAATTTTGTTTTCTTTTGCTTTTGTGTATTGTAATGTATGATAACAAGTTTGAAACAAAGGAAAATAAAATTTGAACCAAGGATAAAATTAAACAACAACATAGACATTCTTTTATGTCAACTAAGTTCTTGGCATTGGAATATCCTTCATTTTTTCTGTCTCTTCTCTGCAAGTTTGCTAGTTCTCAAAATTAGTGGATTTTTGGTATGTGCCCAAAATAGAGAAAAAAAAAACTTGTCAATGCTCATCGCAATGTCCTCTTTTCTCACGAGTAACAACAGGACAACCTGAGATCTGGTTTCTTGATCGTTCACTGGAATGGTGGTATCTTGCTTCATCTTTCACTGATTATTTCAGAATGATGATAGTACATCTTAGCATTCCTCTCTGGCAATATCTTTTTACTGCAACAGGTCTAAGTGCAGAAACAAAGGTAGACATAACTTAATTTGTGATTTTGCAACAAGTTAATCAGTCACTTATTATTGACTTAAGATTAATGTACTGGATTGGAAGGTCCTGGTTTGAGTGTACTAGAAACAGTTCGGAATAATTTCGGAAGTGCACAGAGGTTACTTCCATTAGACCGGCATTCACTCAAGGAAGAGCAACTTGCAATCAAGTTTTCAGAGCAGACTCTCTCCTTTGGTGTTCATGGTTTTTGCAGTTAAAAGGTTCCTTATTTATTTCTGAGGGTTGGTATCTCTGCAGAAACTTGGTGGAAACTAATAGGAAATCATTTCTTCTGTTTACAGCAATGGTTCAATCTCTATGCACCAACTAGATTAGCCATTGACATGGCCAATGTGGAACAAAAGGCCCAACAGAAGCCAAATTCAACAGAGAGAAATAAGTCTGCCACAAATCTTCCTTTCAACTCAATAGATGTAAACAGACTCTTTAGAGGTAAAACTGACAAAGGAAAGAGTAAGCTATCCCAGGCAAAGAAACCACCTCTGGGAAAGACTCAAAACTCAAGTCAGGGTTGACAGGGGCAGTCTGGTAGATCAGCACCAAGATGAAAACAACATGTTTTAAATTTCTCCACTTTGTGAGATGTGGTTACCATAACTGTTTTATAAGGCTGAGGTACAGCTCTTTATCTTAAAGTGCACTTTGATGTGTTTCATGAACAGCAAAGCCACAACTTTTGTCTGAAAAGCACCAAAGGAATAAATTACTGGAAACTAACTTACTGGAAGTCAAGGTTACCTATTGCTTTTGAAAATAGCAAAAATGGAAATGCAATTATTTTGTAAATGATATTGTAAATCACCACCTTCCCCAATCTAAAATTTGTACTGGGGATGGAAAAGCAAAACAGTTTTGAGCAGGGTTCTATCAACATAATAATATTACAAAGAAATGATGATGTGTTGACAGTTCTGTCACTGATCAAATCCCTTCCAGCTTCCATTCCTTAAGGGGATATAAACTACAGCCTCCCCTCTTAATTGGAGCAAATGAGTACTTTACCCTTTAACTCCTAGAAGTGATGGACATGTAACTTCTCCCAGTAAAATACACCCATTATCCATGAAACAGGTACTAAGAATACTTACACACATCAGGTGAAAGTTTTTATCCTGGTCTAACACCAAATTCTTGTAACTTATTGACAAGGAAATGTTTAGCAGCTAGAGGGAAGAATTGACAATCACATCTTGGAAGTTAAAGGGTTAAAGTTTCACTTATTAAGTATTTTGTTCAAATTCAATAATCCATAAGTCAGATGAATGTAAGTCTCCAGGATATACTGGTATTTACCAACTACACATTTGTGCTTCATGTATAGTATGCATAGTACTAATATTTAAATAAAAACTAAAATTTGATCTATCCAATTAAACACTTCACTACAGTGTAAGTCTCTATCTTGGGCAAACACAATATTAGACATCTGATGCAAAATAAATAAGATTACAAGATTATTGAAAAGTATATAAAAATTAATAGAGGAAATATGAAAATACTCTGCATTATGCATGGACAGCCTAAAATCATGGAAACATGTATGATTAATTCTCATCACAAGTTCCAACCCTGTTTTCTACTTGCAGCATAAAGCTATATGCAAAAAAGCTATATGCAGGCTTTTGGATCTCAAATATGTCTAAATTCAGGGGTGTGTTCTGGCACAGCCCTGGTGCCACAGGTGACTAACTTTGTCAAAGACAAAAGCACCTAGCTGGGAACCTGGGATCTTTAAGATAAGAACCTTTAGCAATACTGTGATTCTTCTGAGAATACAGCTTTGAAAATGGACAGATCATTGACCCTCACACTGACTGCTACCACCAATTCTTTCTTTATGAAAATTAAACAAAACCAACAGGGAAAGACACTAATTAAATACTTCTAAAGATTAAATAGACTTCTTCAATTCCGTCTTTAGCTGTCACTCTGATTGTGATGCTTCACTTGAGAATGGTGATGATGATGATAATGTGTCCTCTGAATCAGATAATCTATCACAGAGTTCAGCAATCTTTTTTCTCGAACTTGCTTGAGCTTTTTTCCTTGGACTTTTCCTGTAAGACAAGAATAAATGTTGCTTATTGTTACAAGAAGCAGGAGCCTTGTTCTTCAACTCTCAAGATCTGATTCAAGTTAGAATTCTATCTTTTGGTTACTATACATTTCCTTGTAACTAAAGAGAACTTGGTACTATAGCAACTGAAGATAACACACTCTTGTTGATAAATTAGATTATTCTTATCCCTAAGTAGCTGGATGATGCAGTGAAAGTACAAGGAAAAGAGACAAGAAGACACTGATTTTATCAATGAATATTATTTATTTCAAAAGTTCCAGTCTTTCTCGTTAGAGAGCATTTGATTTGATAGAACTCTATTGTACAGAAAAAAATAACAAGAACTTGACCCTTTTACTCCCAAGATCTTATTTGTTTTGTTTAACTTCTTACTTTCTGTTTTATAATTCTTATGATGTTAGTTCTGAGAATTTGGTATTGGATGAACTAATACATATAATCCTCTAATTGACATATATAAATTTTTTTAATTCTCATCACTTGTTTGCTTGATATTGTAAGGAGAAATTCTGTCTTAATCACTCGTAGGAGTGAGAGGGTTATCAAACATATCTACCTTGTACGCCATGTTATGATATCACTGTTACTTGACGATAGCTCATCTGAACTGTTATTGATTTGATGTGAGCTATCTGATAGTTCACTTGTTGGTATGGGTGAATCGCTATCCCCATCTGTGGAAACTGATAATGATGATGATGATTTGTGTCCAGATGCCAGGCCTGATTCAGAATCAGACGAATTCTCATTGTCATTCTCTTCTTCTGAATGAGATGATAAGCCCTGTGATTCTTCAGTATACTTGACTGTTCTATTTAAATAAAAAAGTACAGTCAAGGATTATAAGGGGAAGATGGCTCTGCAGCCAATGCTAAATTCAAATAAGGCCCTTGTTCCCCCCCTCAAAACCCTTCTGCAAATGCCAGGAATCTGTGCACATTACCTCTCAGTATTCTGTGAAAAATTAATTCTGAAGAACCATTTATTTTCCTAATATCTTTGAAGAAATATCTAAAGGGTGCAAATTTCATTAGCTTTAATTTTGAAGAGGAAAATTAGTCCGAACCTCCCGGAAAACACCTGCAGAAAAACTGACTTTCTAATAGCTTAACGATTAAATTAAAATTGTGAATCTTGTAACACATGCATGGATTATGGAGAAAATCAGGCTTCTTTTCTGCAATTGTTATAATTGCAGTCCACATACGCGGATCATTTCTTTGCTTAAAAATTTTACCTTCGCTCTCTTGTTGAAGTATAGTGAACTTCTTGTTTGCTTCCACTTGAGGCTTCCCCTTTTGCCTCTATCTTTTTCTTGGCAGTTCTTGTTCGCTAAAACATATTTTGCAAGATGTGGTGACACATTTGATAGGAAGCATGTGAAGCTATAGTAGCAGAGAAGAGGTTATTTACCTTACCTTTGCTGTAGACTTCTCTTCTTTTTCTTTCTCTTCTTCCTCTATTACAGCTTCGTCTTCACTTTCCACCCTTCTTCGTTTTCGTCCAATCTTCGCATGCCTGACTGTGTTGACAAAGTCTGACTTCAGTTTTTCTATTACAACCTTACAGTTATCCATTTTCTCCGAAACCAAGAGAACAGACTTTTTGGAACGAAGCGTACGAGTTGCTGGTTTATTTTCTAGGTCATCCGACATGCCACCGTTTGTAGCTGTCTTCCGCGAGCGAGTACAACGGCCGAGGTTACTCTTGACCGCCATGTTTTTGAACCATTTCCGGAGGGATCCTGTAAGCTTTTACCTTTTGCAGGGGAGGGGCTGACCCAAAACTGTGAAGTATCTGATTTCCATGGAATTTTTGAAGTAAAAACATTCTACAGCCGACGAAACTTGCGGAAAATGGTCAAAATAGATTCAAAGACTCGTAAAAATATATTTTACATTGGGTTCTTCTGTCACCTACCTAGTTATTGGTTTTGCATTCTACTCTCCCCACCCTGACTTCTTAGAGATGCTTATAGAAACAACCGCTGACTTTTTTCTGCTCTAATGTTTTCACGAAATTTCTGGTTCGTTCGAAGTAAAAGTTGTTTTGATGTTTTTCTCTGGAATTTACCATTTGCAGGGCGATCTATCATCAGCCGTTGGCTAACATGTGATCCCCACCGTCGCATGACGAAAAAAATCGTCGCTGGCCTTCGAACTAGCGCGAGAATAATGCCTAAGAGAGGAAAAGTCACTCGCAGTACAGAACAAACTCTACTTAAAAACAAACACGAGGCAGGAGTTATCGAATCAGCAATCTCCTTGACCAAAGACGGCCAGATCTCTGTGAGAGTGCTGGCAAAATCTGGTGCAAAGCAAAGTAACATCACAGGTAAGAACTTTTATGAAAATCCAGACTACAGGAGTAGGGCTAAAAGCGCTAAGGTCTTCTTCCAAAACCAAACCCCTGTGGTGAGCTGGGTCGGTAGCAAAGCGGCCCCTCTTTGGATGGCACAGGGGTAGATCGACAAGTTCAAATTATTGATAAATTGTAAAAGAAAAGTGATATTCTCTTCTTTTTTAAACAAAAGATATTCCTTTCACGATGACTTCTCACCTCCGATAACAAGTTAGGTTCAGATAGCCATATTACTTACATCCTGTGTAGGAGGTAAAACTCTTGGATACTACATTTAACTCTTAGAAGCAGATGAATATTTCCTTATTCTTTAAAATTACCCAATACTAAGAGGTTGGCTAAGGGTTTACTGTATACAAAATTGATACGTGACGGGTGAATTTTTCACAGAAAGGTGGTGGAGTGAGATTTAAAGTATTTGTCACCACTGTAATACTAATTTCTTGTCTACTTGGCAGATATTTCTTCAGATGGGGTTGGAGTGCAGATTGCTGCTCCTGCAAGAGATGGTGAGGCAAATGAGGAGCTCGTACGATACCTAGCAGAGGTGCTAAATGTGAGGACAAGAACCATCTCTGTAGACAAGGGATCTAAGTCACGTAATAAGGTGGTTACAGTAGATTTAGCTGAGATTTCATTGGAACAAGTTAAGGAGGTGCTTTCTAGAGCGGCTTCACAGAATTAGCAGAGAAAAAGTCCCTTGAGACATGCCACAAAGACGCTAGCCCGTGACAGGGCCTTTTCAGCGGTCATGAGTTGATGAGATGGCACGAGAAAATTGGTAGAATGACTTAGTGTCCCCACTTTTTGGCTTTCCCCCTCAAATTAATTGCCTGGATGAGGCAAACATGATGCAGACAAAGATGGAAAAGGCATCTACACATGTATTTGAACATCTGAAAGCTGACTGTTTCATATCTACAAAGGGAGCAGATTGGATCTTCTGTTCAATACCATTCATGATTTATCGGTAAATTACCTTCAACGATACCCTAAAATGTAGGAACTCTAATGTAGTTTATTCATGTGAATAAAATCTTTCTACCAACTTCGTTTGGTTATTGTTATTTAGCGATGAGCAACCTCTGAAAAGAATTCCCGTGCACTTCAATTAATGTTGCAAACGCAATTTTTAAGACTCCACAATTCACCAGTGAACACAAAAAGACCAAATGATAGGACTGTTTTGGGATTTTTTTTTTTGAAAACTCTTTACACCCTTACATTAGTACCATATTCTCCAGACTGTTCTCTATACTTTTCCTGTGGTACTGGTAAGGAGAATTTGTTTTATTAACAATCAGGTGCTTCCAAAATCGGTGATTATTTCCTTTTTTCTCATGCCCTTAGTTTAACTCTGATTCAAGGGTGATACTGTGAGGAGAAATTAAAAGCCTGACACTCTTTCTTTGGATTCAAGGATTTAAAATAATATATAGAAGCAAATTATACTGACACGAATTGTTGATTCTAATTTTCTACCAATTTTATTTATACATTTATCATGTTTTCACATGACACTATAATCCACTCAAAAACACTACTGTACAATTATGTTGGAAACATTGATTTACCAAAAATACCTATTATTACAAAAATAGCTTTCACCATTATTTAAATTTACCATTACCAAAGAGCACAAAGACTTTATTTTTTAAATTATTGCAAATGTAAGTAAGCGCTTCACAGAAGAGTATTGAAAAAGTAACACTAACCACTGAAAATTACCATGATGTACAAGTTCAGTACAAAAGTTACTAACAATCTTTAAAAAATAACGTACCTACTTTTTTTCTCTTAAAGAAAAGTTTAAATGGTTACAAAGGCTGTGAAAGTGCTATTGAGATGTAAATCAAGTGGCGTGCATGTATAAAAATGCTGCAAAAGGTAAATTACCAATTTGAATGGATAGTACAATTACAGCTCTTAGAGCATGTGGTTAAGAAATTTGCAATTTAAATTCATGACTTTTGCATGACTTTGTCACTTGGAATCACACTATTTTAAAATTTGAATTTTGAGGCAAGTGAAAAATTTGCTGGAATTTTCACATCTGAAAAGAAAGAAAGAAAGAAAGAAAGAAAGGAAGAAAGAAAAGAGAAAAGAAAACATGAACATCGGAGAGCCACTGTTCTGTGTGTTAAGTCCATGTCAAAAGCATACTTTAGAAAGCATTTTTAAAAATAGGGAAATTTGTCAAGGTTATGCAGTTATTACTGATATGTTTACATGGCAAACAGAAAAGGAACAAAACTAAGCATTGTACTAAAATTTGAAAAACTCAACTTATAACTGTACATAAATTTCTAGCTGTAGAGTGAAATTGAGTGATACTCTGCACAACTTGCTGATCCAACTTGATGGAACTCAATGCCTATAAATCAAGAAGACAACATGATAGATGTTAAAAATAATCTAAGCATTATTGAAACAAAACGTTTCTTAAGTTAAGTTCTAAGTAAACAGTACTGGATGAGGTTGAGCATGATATCATGCAAAAACCAAGTTCAATAATTGTTTTTTAAATATTTTTTAAATAACCTGCAGAAAGAAGACACTTCTCACTGAGTTTGCAGAAGTTTGAGAACACTGCATGCACAAGGGGCTTGAAAACCAGGCAGATCTTGAACTTGACATGATAAATGCAACATCCTCTTCAAATATTGCATTACTAGTGTCATCTTCAAATGCTATTGTAAATTGGATAGTAAGTCTAATGTATAAAACTACAGGATACTGTACCTTTTTGTCATATAATGTTCCACGCCTCTGCTCATGTGTTGTGGAGATGACTGTATCATGGAGGGAGCTAAAACAAATTTCAAACAAAAAAGGGAAATTCATATACACCTTCATCAAATGGTGGACCTTATTTTTCTATAGTGTCCTTGTCGATTCATCTTTCCAGTCTTAAGACAGAATGATTTACATCAATAGAATTTCCATTCAAAAATGAGGCTGAGAAAGCTTATTTGCATGTGTATGAAAGAATGACTCTTAGGTTTGCCATACATGAAAGAGCTCTGAACGCAATTCAAGTGAATATGAATATCTTGTGTTGAGTCACTAACAGAGAAAAAGTAAAGAAAACCTGTGAGGAGATTAGGAGAAGGAAACCTGATGTGAGTTATTTTCTCTCTAGTTGATCACTCAATCTTGCTACAAAACCTAGTTGTTTCCTTTAACTGTTCCAAAAAATTTAAAAAAATTTAAAAAACACACACATGTGACATGTACAAACACTTCACCCTTTTACTCTCTGGAGTGAAAAAAAAGGGAAGTTCTCCTCGCCATATTAAAACATTTTTTTAAGCATAAAGGTAATGAGAACAAAGAAAACTGTGGAGTATGGGGTGTAGTTTGATTTATCACCAACTTCTTAGAGCTGCAATTGTAAGAAATGTATGACACACATTAGGGAGTTACATGTATTTAGATCCAGGGCATGACAGGTGTAATGTCTCACAGGGATAGAGGGGGGAGAAGGGTATCATCGATTTTTATGTAGGCAAAGCAGGTATTAACTCACCAAAGGCTGGGTCAAACTGCCCAATGAGACCATAGAAGCCCATGTCTGCCGCAAGCCTTTGTCTTCTCATAATCTCCTCCTCTGTGAGTACATCCACATGACCTGCCATTCTACTGATTGCTAGGTTGTTTGCAATTATGCTTGGGTGATTATGCAAAGTGTTGCTCTCCCCTTTAAAATCAGATGACCTGGAGCTAGCCTTTGGCGATATCTTTTGCTCACTTGATGCGCCACGATTTCTGACTCTGTCATCTTTGGAGGGAACTGAAGAATGGCGAGCTTCCTTTTCAGTACTTTCTTTGAGTTTTTGCAGTCTTTCATGAGTATCTGTGGTTGACATACGAGCTTGGGAGCTGGAGTGAAGCGTGGGTGTAGAAGAACGATCCCTCTCTGCTACTTGATAGGGACTTCTTGTGTCACGCTCTCTACTTGATGACATCACAGCACTTGATTCCCCATTGCTGCTTATTGGCATGCTCATAACCATTCCTGGAGGAAGTGGGAGCTGTTGGCTGATTAACATCTGATGAGCACTGTATGGTAACTGTCCTGTAAACCAATTAGAACAAGAAAGTAACACCTGATTTATTTCATTTTGTTGTGATTAAATCACATCCATTGCAAAAAAAGTTATCTCATTACAGTACTTAAAATTTTATTAGGTAATTTTCACTGCACATTCACTTTCCCTTTGCAAAAACTTAAGAGTCTAAATATTAAATGGTGCTTCAAACTAACCTGCCGATGGGTCAAAGTTGAACTGTGACAAATATGCCTGAAACTGAGTTGGTGTAAAGTTTGTGGAGTGTGAGTTTGCACTCTCCCTTTTTTCATCTGAAGTGGGGGAGTTCTCTTTGTATCTTGCTGCTGGTAAAGGTGACCTGGAAGGTCTTGGAGATCTTGGAGCCAAAAGGGATTGGGATTTGATAACCTGGCTACGGGAAGATCCATGGTCTGAGGAGGAGGCACTGCGAGAATTTTCTGCCTCAAAAGAATGGTTTATTTCCTTTGCTGTACTTGTTGATGGCTCCTGAAAGATGAAGAGTTAAAGGAAATAATTACAAATTCTGGGTGATATTTCCTTGGAATTCTTCAGTGGTGCCATTTACCTAAAATGGAAGAGAGAGTTTAATGGTTTAAACCATTAGAAACTACAAACAGTTAAAAATACCTAAAAACATAGAAACCGAATCAATTTTAAGGAAATATGATCAAACCTGAGAACGGTGTTTCACCATGTCCCTTCCACTTTCACTCCTATTTTCCATTTTTTCCTCCTCTCTACTAAGATTTCCACGTCTTTCTGACCCTTCTGGAGTTTTTTGTTGCTTGTGAAAGCTGCCACCCATTTCATTCTCCAGTTTCCTTATTCAAAGAACAAAGAGACAGAAAGGTGACAAAATGCCTAGAAACAATTGTCCATGTTCTTATGGTTGTAAAGTTCTCTACTCAAGAAATTCAAGAGAAAAAGAGAAACATCACACACCCCTCCCATGCTACCAAAACTCATCAAAATCAATGCCTGCCTCTTGGGGCTGGACACTTGATGGGTCTAAGTTAAGTTGAACTCGAATCTCTGTTCGCAGAGAGGATCTTTTACTAATTTTTTAAAGACGTTTTGAGAAGACAAAACCATTAACCTTGTACACCTTAGCATCAAGACACATATTCTCCTTACTGTTTCCTATGCATTTCCTGTGCATTTCCTATGTTGCTAACAAGGATAATTTAGTTGGTGATCATTTCCTTTATTCTCATGACCTTAATATATATTCAGGGGTGATATTGTAAGGAGTAAATCAGATGCTAGTAGCTCTTAAGAGTTCAAGAGTTAAATTAAAAGTAATATCAAAAGCAGCTGGAAACAATAAGTATTGACGTACTTAAACATTGACATCCGCTGCTTTTGCTTTTGCATCTGAAGATATTCCTCCTCCTTTTCGTACTTCAGACGTTCCATCTCTCTCTCACGTTCATACGCTTCATCAACCCTGCTTTTCTTTTCAGGAGGTTCATCAGAAGACAGCTTGTGCTGTGTCATCTTGGGTGATGAGCCATGTGATGATGGATATGGCAAACTCTCACTTTTACCAGGAAATCGCCGAAATTCACTTTCATCAGGAGAGGTCCTTGCAGGCATTGCTTTCTTAATGCTCACCTCATCTGATCTTCGTTCATCCTGAGTTCTGTCACTTGGTTTTTGAGTTTCTTTCTTCTCAAACGTTCTTGTTTCAGTATGACCTGAACTGCTGCTGCTGCGCATTCCCTATATGAAAATAGCAAAGTTTATTATTGTACACATCAATCTACATGTACAACACTGAATTTGGTTCAATTAAAAAGATAGTAACCTCTACGCGAAAACGTTCCTTACGGTATCCGTTCGAACGGTCGAACGCACGGTATGTGAACGGATGACAAACGGATAGAGAAACCGTTTAAAACGGATGCCATGAACGGCTGAACGGCTTCAGAAAAATTTCGAACGGTTGAAGTCGAACGGCTGAACGGCTAAAGGAAAATTTCGAACGGTTGAAGTCGAACGGCTGAACGGATAAAGGAAAATTTCGAACGGTTTAAGTCGAACGGTTGAACGGCTAAAGGAAAATTTCGAACGGTTGAAGTCGAACGGCTGAACGGCTTCAGAAAAGTTTCGAACGGTTGAAGTCGAACGGCTGAACGGCTGAAGGAAAATTTCGACCGGCTGAACGGCTGAAGTTTTCAACGGATAAGGTCAAAGTAAACGGTTGAACGGCCGATCAAAAACATTCGAACGAAATGACAGTAATTAAGATAAACGCGACACGCGCTACTTAGATCTGAAAACTGATAGAAAACCTAGAATAAATCTAATCCTGTTTTGAAAATAATAAGTCTTTTGAGAGTAAAGCAAATTCGTTTTCGCGGGGGAGAAACAAAAGCCGGTAATAGTCTGCGTTCTCTTTTAAAATAATTGTCATGCAACCATTTCGTTGTTTGGAACGGATAGCTCCAGCCGTTCGAACGGCTCCCAATTTTTTTTGAACGGATAGCTCAAGCCGTTCGAACGGCTCCCAATCTATTTGGAACGGATAGCTCCAGCCGTTCGAACGGCTTCTAATTGTTTTTGAACGGATAGCTCAAGCCGTTCGGACGGCATCCCATCCCGTTCGAACGGCTGATGAACGGCTTACGAACGGCTATCCGTTTCAAAACGGCAAACCGTAAGGAACGTTTTCGCGTGAGAGGTCACAGTTTGCAAATAAAACTCACCTGTTTCTCCTGCTCAAACAACATCTGTTGATAGAGCATCTGCTGTTCTGGTGGCATGTTTGAGAGCAGCTGGGCTTGAGCTGCTGAGTTATATGCCAAATAAAAGTGCAACATTTGCTGATGATACTGATACTTTCTCAACTGTTCGGCTGATAAGTGTTCTTGAGATCTGAAATTTAACTCTGTAGCGGAGTCCCTGATATCACGTCTTCCCCTCTCCTTCTCAGTCAAAAGCATCTTGTCTTTCGAAGAACCAAATGCAACAGGGTCTTCTTTCACAATTACAATCTCTGAGTCCTCCTGACTACTGTCATCAGGTGCCCTCATCATTTTAAGGTGTGATCCAGCACCAGAAGCTAACTGTTGTGGGCTTTTCCCTTCTGGAGAGGGCTTGGTAGTACTTAGGGAACGTGGTATGGGTGACTTGGACACTGAATAAGGTGATGGCTCTCTAAGCACAGCTTCAGTTTTTCTTTCATTTTTCATTGGCTCATTCACTCCTGAAGCCTTCACTCCTACCATGATTCAAGAGAAATTTTTACAGTAAGTGTTCGTAGTTTGATTGAACTCCAGTAAGTGACCAAGAATGAAATTCTCCTTAAAATAACTAAACAATGTCAAGCAGACAGGACTATATTGGCAACCATCCATCTCGTGAGATGGAAATGGAAATCCTGGGCTGCCCAAGATGTCAGGATCCCCCTCTCAGCCTTACCGATGTGGTCAAAAGGAAAGCAGTGCAGTATGTTTGGCACTAGCTTCACTACAGAAGTTTGCCAGCTAGTTGACTAAAAGCACAACTAACCGCCTCAAAGGGGCTCCACTCCTAGATTATATGTCAGGGTTTACTCCCTTAGGTGGTTTGTTGACCTATACTAATGAGGTCTACCTCCCTGCTGTGGAGCTGATATTAATTCACCAATAATTGGGATCCACAGCTGGATGGCTCAGAGCACTCCTGGCAGCAACAGTGGCTCAGAGGCAGCTCCATGCTTACCCAAATCAGGGCCCCACTACTTAATGTAGTTAAAAGTAATACCCGTATTTACCCGTGTATAATGCGCACTTTTTTTCCATAAAAACAAGCATCAAAATCGCGGTGCGTATTATACACGGATTCTATTGTTTGTCAAGCACGTCCTAATTTGCATACGTTAAAAACGCAACAAAGAAAGTAAAAGTGCACGGATCGGTGGCCTGGGGAGGAGAAAGAGCTTGCTTATTTACGACTCATTTGAGGCTCACGTGACAGATACTGTGAACACTTTCTTCAAACGCGAACTTCCCTTCTCCAGCCGCTCGATGTATCTTTGAACAAACCATTTAGAGATGGAGTCCGAAAGGAGTGGATGGCTGATGGAATTCACGAACTTACTGGACGACAAAAAAAGGCTTCGGAGGAACTGATCTGTTCGTATATTTCACAAGCGTGGGAAGGCATTCCATCAGAAATGATCGCTGCCTCTCTCTGAAGTGTGGGTGCACAAACAATTCGAATGGATCACAAGATGAATTGGTTTACAATTCAAACTGAGATCACTGATGAACTTGAGGATTCAGTCATCGAAACCTATTCGAATCGGACTGTGAGTCGGAATTTGAAGGTTTCGTTGTTTAAAGACACTGAACATTTTACTTAAATCACGCAATTGCAATGCAGTAATTATATTCAAGCTACCAGCAGTACTGTGAGTAGAAATAATGTTTATGAACGGCTGTTATGATAATAATTCAAGTTGTGAATTTAGGTATATTAATAAGGACTTCAAGTTACAACATTTATAAAACGTTTGACTGTTACTGAATAAAAAAGCTTGTAAATAGGTGCTCGGTGCGTGCGATATTTGTAGTAGCAACTAGTTAGAAATTGTTGTAAACATATTATTGATGAATTCCCAGCTCTTGTTAATTAAGTGAAAAAATGGAAGTTCTAATTCTTGGTATTTGTCATGAAATTTTTTTTTTCGGAAAAAAGAGGTCAAAAATTAGGGTGCGTATTATACACGGGCGCGCATTATACACGGGTAAATACGGTACCCAAGCAGATAAGGAATGAGAATAAAGAAAAACACATGTTAGGGGATTATTCATTGATTCAATACCAAATTCTCCAAACTAACACCATAAGAATTATTTGACAGACAGTAAGGAGAATTACTGATGAGATCTTAGGAGTGAAGGAGTTAAAACTGCAAAGAGACTGAAATTAATACGGCGGGGTAAGGAAATCAAACCTGGTCGAATGCTGGGGTGGGATGAGGTGGAACCCTGTGTTTTTATTCCTGGGCCAATGATTGGGAGGACAGTCTGAGGGAGTCCAGAATGGATGGCAGGTCCTGGACTTCTCTTCATTGCCACTGGTGACACTTCTCCAATAGGAATAGGGACTTGCAATGTTTGAAGTTGTTTAGCTTTGTTTTCTGGTTGTGGTAGCTCGGATGGTACATCGCGTGGACTAGATTGAGATCTGGGAGAAGTACTTGTATAGGTGACTGTAAACATGAAAAATAGATAGTCAAAGACTGCATGTGGCAACTGAAAGTCTCTTCAATCACCAGTGATTCTGATCAAAGGTCTAAATGACGAACATTTCAGTGGCATAAGCAAAGGAATTCAATATTCTACATCACTGTGTGACTAACCATCCCTGCAAAGTTCTTGAAATACAGGTACATTAAAGAATTCCCCACATGAGAGCAATATACAATGATGCAAGCAGGGCTACAAAATTTTATGCTCATGCATAATTCCCAACAAGAAGTAAAATGCCTCAACTCAAATTAGGAACAAAAAAATAGCGGGCTGTATTCTCAATCTTGAACCAAATATTGGTCTTTGTGGCCCTCCAATTGAGTGTTAGGGCTACACACTCTGAAATGCTCTCACTATCTGTCTCCCTCTATGCAATACATATCCAAAATATTTTTTCCCCTCACCTTAGTAAACTAATTAACAACATATCTTCAGTATAAACCATTTAAATCAAATGAATTAAGAAAGGGGGAACCTTTACAATTATCTGTAAAGTACCTGATGTAACAGAAGAAGCAGCAGTAGACGTCTTGTAATCTGATGCTTTCCCATGACTAGAAGCTGAACCCCCATCTGAAGCTCTGGGGTATGGATGAGCCACACCAACAGGGAGGGATGGGCCTAGTGAGCTACCACCCCTGGAGATTAAGGTAGGATGTGTTCTAGTCAGAGCTCTAGCTGCTGTCTTGTAAGACTTCTCCTGATCCTCCATTCCCTGACTGGGAAGGGGACTTTTACTGCTGCTACCCATTTCACTTAATCCAAATCCTCCCTTGGTTTCTGTGATTGTTTTGCTGTGTTCCACTGAAGATGAAGTGAATGTGTTGCTGGGGTCAGTTTGTGGACAGCCAGATGGAATGAATTCTTGTTTAATTCCCTTTGATGTCTCTGAAGGCTGAAACTCATGCTTGACTATGACAGGTTGAAAGGGGCTTGATGAATTTTTCCTTTCTCCCCCAGCAGAGTGCACTTTGGTACTAATGATTGGAAATGATGTACCAGGAGAGAGTGTACTAGAATCAAATCCTGGTCTTGATGAAGATAAATGCATTGCCACATTCCCAGTGAGTGGTGGGATAGGCCTGGGGCTTTTTGTAGAAACCCTAGCCTTGTCAGGAAGATTCACATTCCGACTGAATGCTTCTGGACTTGGACTATGAGTTCTGGTATAACCAGTAGAAACGGACAAGTTTTTGGTTACTTTTCCCTCACTTTTGCTCTCTTCCTCGGCTGATGATTTTGCATTCAAGACTGTCCTAAAACCCTCACCTGATGCAGGATCATTCTGTTTTTGAGCAACTTCCACCATAGCTCCATTCCGAACAAGTTCTGGATATCTAATTGGAGCCAGAGTACCTTTGGAGTCAATTTTTGCCTTCTGATCTATATCAGATGTCTTAATGCACTTATCATAATTTTCATCACCATAGTTTCTGCACTCAAAAAATTTAAATCGTGCAGATGGAGCATCGCTGTTCATGAGAGGTGGTTCAACAGCACTTCGGGAAATGCTCTTAGAAACAAGTGCTTCCATGGAGATATTTCCAGCAGAAGTTTTCACGCCTTTGTCATCTAGCACTGTTTGAGTTGTTTCAGCATTTTGATGAAAAGGCACGTAAGTCTGTGCAGATAACTTCTCAGAAACACCAGTTTGTGAGGGCCATAACTCACTTTTTCTACTTTCAAATTGAGATAACAACTTTCCACTATAATTTTTGTTCCTTTTCTCTTCAGCAGAAGTGTCCTCCGCCTTGACGCTAAAGTACAAGTTTGTTTCAGGCTTTGTTCTAGGCACATCAGAAGCTACAAAACTCTTGTTGGAGGTTACCTCTGTCTTTTGGGCCTGGTTTGACAAGTTATCTTTTGTAGAAAAAGACAGTCCAGGATTTGTTTGGTCTGAATTTGAGGCAGAGCAGGACAGATTTGGTACATCTTTGCTTGTGTATTCAGAATCTAAAGAAAATAGACACAAAGCCTCTTCAATTTTTATCCACCCACTAATTTTTCCTGAACTTTGCTAAAAGTATACTTAATTCTCTAGACTAGGGCCCTTGGGCTTGTTTAAAAGGTGCAGGAACTTTTCTCCTTTTACTTAAATGAGAGGCAGTCTTAATATATTGTGGCAGGAAGAAACCTGCTGCTAACTTCAAAATAAGACAAAAATTAGCTAGTACTCTGAAGACTGCAAAAAAGAGAAGAAACCTTAAGCTCCTTGAAACAGAATTCCATAGACAAACACTAAGTTATTATGCAATGCATTTGTGTGAGCTTTTAAGTGGAGGTCACTGTTTTCCTACATTTACAATGTTCAAGCCACATACCTTGGCCAGGATCAATGTCTTCTTCAGTCTCACTGATGTCCTCAACTTCAATGCCTAACTGATTAATTAGCCCAACTCCTTTGTCAACAGCCTGCCGCAGATCCACTGGCTGCACACCAGGAATGCTAAGCTGGTTGCTTGACTGTTTGCCATCAAAACTGCCTTCCACAAGAACTTTCTCCATGTCTTCCACTTGACTTATGCTGATCCTCTCTTCCTGGTTCAGGGATTTACTGCCACTATTTGCCACACTAAACCCACTGTCTATCACAGTCTCCCATACTTCTTGGCTAGCCTGTGGAGTATTGGATTTCATGGTATCCTTTCCACACCCTTGCATTTCATCTGTGGTTGCTGCACACATAGGTGTTGCGATCAAGCCAACAGAAGAGTTGGAAGCATCCTTAGACATCATTGTCTCCTCTTTCTTCAAATTCTTAATGATACCTTTCTGCTCTTCTAGAACAGGCTTGAAGCTATTTTCTTGTTTGACATGGTCAACTTTCTCTTGGATATCATTCTCTAATCTGATGTCATGTTCGCAAGCCTGTTGACATTTATCAGAACTCTCCACAAATGATACAGTAGAATCTTTCTCAACAGCATCTTCTTCAGTGGAAGGAACAGGTGATTTTGACATCTTACTCTCCTTTATGGCAGTAGCATCAGTAGATGTTTCTATAATTTCCTTTTTCTTGCTAGCTGATCCTCTGGAGGACTCATTCTTCTTCTCGTTCATGGAAGCAATAGCAGCTGCTAGGGATGGTGACACGCTCCGTGCCCTGGCACTGACACGAGATGTTCTTCCCTTAAAGCTTGTTTTTGTATCAGGCTCTTTGAACTCTTCCACAGGAGAGGGACTGGTGCTAGCAGATCTATCATCTGATTGGTTGGACTAATGTAAAAAAAATAGGCATACCATAATTGAAAATATCATGTATGAGTAGAGGTCAAGAAAAAGACAGATACATACATGTAACATATAACATTATATCACTCAAAGTCCTAACACTGTATGAAATCCTATCAACTTGTAAATCTGGAACATGTGTTCATGTTGGCACTACCAAACATAAACTACCATAGTTGAAAAATTATCTGGTTTGTGTAGACATAATATTAATTTATCTGTAAATGTACTCACCTCCTCTAGGTGAGCATGCGCCTGATGATAGCGTAAACCATTAATGTGCTTGTACTTTTTGTCACACCCTGGCTCAGGACATTCAATCAATGTTGGAGATGGCTGAGGAGACACTGTCGTTTTCATTGTGCAGCTTCGTTTTCCAGGCCGTGATGTGCCATCATCATCATCATCTATATTTTTTGACCGTCTTTTTCCAAGACCCTTAAACCCTTGGGACTTTGGTGGGGGACAGCCTGAAACACCTCTCTTTCGACCACGAAGTTTGTGCTTCAGTGGGGTGACTGCAAATGAACAGTTTACATTTGAGACATGAAGGATGAAATATATGAACAAATAAACAAATGAATGATAAAGCACAGCACTTTGGGGAAGGAAAGAAATAAAAAAAAAAAAAAAAAAATGTGGATACAATGCTTTGACAAAACAGGTCACCAATTGAAAGCTACTCCACTTTCTTTATTCCACTTTTGAAGAGACAACCAATTCTTTATGCCTACCATGGTATCAAATTCAAAACTGATATAATTTACCTTCTTTATTCACACTTCCTGCTGATGATGATAGAGAACTGCCTTTCTGTCTCCTTTTACCCTTTCCACCTTTCCCACCCATTTTCATTTCATTTTCACCCCCTTCTACAGCAGGAAATCTGTGGATGTACAGATAACAAAACAAATGTGCATAAGTGACATGTCAAGTCCATGTCTACAGGTAATTGATGTTCATATAACATTTTTAAAAAGTTTATTTATAGACCATGAACAAGAGTAAGTTCTTGGGACCCATACAATATTTCTGTTTCATTTCTAAAGGACAATATCATATTGTAAATTACAATTGTAAAAATGTTAAAGAAAGGGAAATACTGTCATGAAGTTCAAAACCACAATTGCACTTATTCTGTTTATCTAGTTTCCAAAGTTTTATTGTACATTAACTTGTCTTTATTAAATCACAAAACAGCAAGTTCATCTTTACTTGATTTTAAAATTTACAATGAACATGAATTTTTGATATTGTAGCCACTTGACCACACCACTTGGCTACTTCAGGGTGTGAAATTACACCTAATACAGGTGCCAATGCGACTAAATTTTTCACTTTGGTGACTAAATCCTAAAAATTAGTCGCCAAATTGGCGACTAGAATGGTTTGTCATAACCTTACCGAGAGATATAGTGAATTAAAAAGATTTGCATTGGCTACCACTTTGCAGAATTTAGGAGCCAAGTGGCTATCAGAAAAAAAAAATTAATTTCACGCCCTGTACTTTGAGGTAGTAATCATGTGGATTGTTTAAAAATGCAAACCTTGGGCTAGCCCATGCATGACGAGAACAGTCCATCAGGGAACCACAATAAAACTTGTCTCTCCACTTGATGTTTACAACCAGTACTCCTGAAATTCAGACAAAAATGATTCATTTTGGCAATAGCCCTGCAGACATAATTCAATGTTCTTCGTCACAAAACTGATATTCCCCATATGCAGTACAAGGTTGAGTTTGAATTATTGACCAGCTCTATGCCTTATTTTCTTAAGAAACACAATGTGGTGTTTGTAGTCCACTTCACAAAGGAATTCCACTCAGAGTAACAATATTGAACAACACTCACCGCCAATTTCATGGCAGACTATTCCATGAAGGGTCACAGGGGCACCAGGTGGTGCAGGAGTAGTGTTGTTTTCATCACCTTGACACAAGGAATTGGGAAGCTTTTCTAACAGATCTGCCATTGGAATGTTGCCATCTAAACCCGCCATGAATCCTTGAAATCCACTGGGAAGAGCCTTCAAAATCAGTGAACATAAAATAGAATATCAATTATCATTGATCAGTAAGTCCATGCACGAGGATCAACCTTCCCAGTTTCTCAACCTTTAAACTTGCAAGATCTTATTGTTTATTCTCCCTCTAACTGCTACACATTTCCTTGAAAATTAGTTACAAGAATTTGGTGTCAGATCAAGGTAACAACTTCTACCCAATAAGTTTGAGTATTCTCATCACCTCCTTCCTGGTTGTTGTATGGATATTATAGGGAGAAGTTACATGTTAATCATTTCTGGGGGTTTAAGAGATGAGGGGAGAAAAACACCAGTAAGAATGACATGCATATTTCAAGTTGAATGTCTACTAAAACGATGAACAGAGAGCATAAATCAACACAATATCCAATAAGTGGAGGAAAAGTTGGCTCAAAAACAAGAGCCTTTGCAGGATAAGTGCATTGTTTTTGTTCAACCGATTTACCAACATAGGAAATTAGTGGTACAGTGTGATGATTAAATGTACACACATACCTTAAAAGCATGATAAAGAAGAAGAAATATAAACCAAAAAAACAAAACAAAACAAGAAAAGAAACAATTATTTTAACTTGCACCTAACTTAGTGTTGCAATGTACAAATAACGTCTAAATTCAAATCCTGTAAAGTATATATTTTTTCAGGCCACTCAGTTTCAGGAATTATATCTTTGATTGCAGCTCACTTACTTTGATAATTTCTCTTATTTGTACTAGAATAACAAATGCTTTGTACAATACCTCTTGATCATCTGGTGGTTCCTGTTTGATTTTCATTTGTTTTACATTCTTATCATTTCCATTTAATGAAATGTCATCATCATCATCCTCATTTTTACTTTCTTCTTCCTCCTCTTCATCCTCATCATCGTCTCCTTCATCCTCATCATCTTCATCATCATCCTCATCATCATCATCTGCATCATCATCCTCATCATCATCATCACTTCCGTTATCTTCCCCATTGCCATCTGCTCCTGAATTACCACCATTGCTTGAGCTGTTCTCGTAATCCCTGTTTTTGGAGATCTTCCTTCTCCGATTCCTCCCACCATTTTGAGACTTTGGATTGTACTCTTTATTCTCACTCTTCCTTCGTCCACGACTGACAGCTCTTCCTTGCTTCACTGTGTTATTAGTAGTAACACATTCCTGGTTATTTTCAGGAGTTTCCTCCCGGTGAGCTGCTTTTCTATTTTCTTTTAAAGGAAGAAGCAGGAACAGCAGGAACAGCAGGCACAGCAGGCACAGCAGGCACAGCAGGTACAGCAGGCACAGCAGGCACAGCAGGCATAGCAGGCACACCAGAAGACTTGATCTCCTCACTGGACCCGTTATCTTTCCTTCCCTCCATTTCTAGACATGAATTTTGATCCTCTGTTTGCTGCAAGACACACCTAACTTGGTCATTTTTTAGATCAGGCACTTCCTTAGTGAAGTCATCACCAGATGGAGTTTTTCCATCCTGCATCAGCTCCAACTCTTTAGCTTGAGGAGCACAAGATGTTAAACTGACTGAAACAGTCATCCCTTAGACACTGACACTAACAGCTGGCTTCCATGAGTTCAGCCTCACACATTCAAGGTTAATGAATCTAAAGAGTAAGAAAGACAAAAATACAAAATATTTTTTTGAGTAAAAAAGAAATGTTTCTTAATAACATTTTTTTTAACAAGGTTGTGGAATTTTAAAATTCTACACACCTTCTGTCAAGTGTATGTTGCAATTTGGGATGTGAAATTACACCTGTAGTCACATTGTAACAGCAAAATTTGCTGTTAGTTACTCATTACATGGTCCTTTCTATGGGAAAATATAACTTAAAAAAAGATGGGGTAAATATTGCCTATTACATTCTACTCTCTAAGTTTTGCAACACTTGAGGAGAATAATATTATTTTTTTACTATCAATATTCCAGTGATAAAGAGAAATCTTAATACACGTGCTTTACTTTTGTTGGTTGTTTTTTCAACAAAATTAAACTGTGAAGTGTAAGTTCAAAAATCAGTACTACATATAAATAACATCACCTTTTGCAAAGGAATCAATGCAAGATTCAAAAGCAGTCCTTAGCAAATCCTAATTTGTGATTCTTTAGAAGATAATTACATGAGAAATTATATTTTCTTTACAGACATCCATATAAACAATCTCCTTATGTAATGTTCTATCAAAAGTCAAGTTACATGATATAGTATATTGCCCGATTACATAATGCAGTGTTATGCCTTATTTCTAGCAAGGCAGGCTAAAGAAATTTTCAAACTGTTAAAGCAATCCTTTTACCTATTGAATTTTTAAGAATTCCAAGCAGTTTAAGCAGTAATAGGAGGTACTACAGAAGGTAAGTTTTACAGCTTATTGTCTGAAAAGGAGAACGCTGATGATGGTTTTCAACTTGGTACAATATTTTGAAATTCCAGAGTAACAAACATGCACAAATACATGCACATATAAAACAAATTTGCACGAAATTCTTCCAAGCTAAACTTACTAACCATGAACAATGACATACAATGGAGCTTTGAAAAGAATCAAAAATAGTTTGTCAATTAGATCACAAAGTTTACATGAAAGATATTTCATTTTAAAACATTTTTAAAGAATGTTTTAAATCACAGTCTTGAACAGTCCTTAATGAGGTTACACAACCAGGTAAACACAGATATAGCTTTTCTGTCTACAGACGAACAAGAGCATAATTTGTAGATATGGAATACCCTGGTTACAGGTCATTGAGTAATAATCTATAAATTTTTTCACCAAGCAGTAATCTATGAATTTGTTCATCATGAAGTGAGTGTCATTAAGTGCAACATGCATTGCCATTTTAGAGAGAAAAGTACAGATTAATTAGGAAATTTATAACAGTTGGTAAGTGGCCGCGGTATGTCTCTCACTTTGATGATCAATATTATCTATAGTATTAAGGCAAAAAGTTGCTGACAGGTTTTCAAGTGTTATCATGTTCATTATTAAATAAAAAGATGATTCACGAACAAAATTTTCAGATCAAAGCTTCTATAAACAAAATCTCTACAGTAGAGTATACGTCACCTAGCAACATATACACTTGCTGTCACTGGGAAACCCATATTAAACATGACTGAGTGATGTTGTCTGCTAAAAACATAATACTTCAAGCGAAACTGGTTAAAAAAAAAACCTCTTTGTTTAACTCAGTCTCTTTGGCAACAAGAAACACCATCAATATCACAGCCTCTTTAAAGCGTTTTGCATAACTATAATGCAATGAAAAAAAAAATTGAAAACAAAAACATATTTGTGCAAATGAATTAAACTGTTTGTCAGATCCTAATCTATTTACAAATGAATAGTTGAAGCTTCATACCTGTTTCTTAAGAACATGAATACTTTAAATATATCATTCTCTGTTATTGATATAGTGCTAACATACAAGTATTGGCAATATCAGAAAGACGGGGGAAAATGTTAACTGTAAATCATATCAATTATATTGATATTTAAAATCATAAAATGCTACTTCATGAAAGTTTGGAATTGGAAAGATCTAGTGCACTGTAAAATATTGGCACTCCAATACACCAATTTCGTTTCTTCACAAGGCATTTGACATTTCTTTTTGCTTTAAAAATATACCTGGGAAAGATTTCTACAAATATGAAGACTCACAATTGATAAATATGAATTTTCTCAACCGGTGTGCTTTAAGATCAAAGAAAGGTCAAATTGCCATTCAAAAGATCAAGATATCACTTCTCCAAACTGTCTGCCATACATTACTAATAATTCTAACTCAGAGAAACTGATGTTAAACAGAAAACATCCCCTTAACTGATGTTTTTTTTTTTTTTTTTTATCTCAACATTCTGCTTAACAAAGTATTTATATTGAAGGTTGAAGGGAGAACTAACATGTGATTACAGGTTCCTTGTGGAAGTGAAAGCATTGATAAAGGTGAGATTTTGGTCAATCACAAGCAACACAAAATCCAACACTCAAATAAAGACACCTTAGAGAAATCAAAATACTTAAATTGACATTCTACATGTACTGGATGTGATATATTTTAATGTCAATGCAGCCACATGTTACCTGTAGGTATAATCCACAGATAATACACACCTTTTACTAAAATTAGGAAAAAATTCAAGATCAATAGGTTTTGAATACTCTACAATTTGGATTTATGTTCACAATACAAAGCTTAATGTGGCAAATGAAGCAAAAATGTCATGATCTTTTTTCTTTAATTTTTTTTGGGGGGCTCAATCAGTTTAGTTATTTTTGTCAAGAAAACATGTTGTTTTAAATATTTATCAAAGTAAATGCAAATTTGTTGCAGTTCACTTCACAAATACACTTGTGCAAGCCATGCTCCATTTCACAATCAAGAGCCATCAATCTTTTGTTCTACTTCTCCAAAGTTGGCAGACTGTTAAATAAGTTTTTGTTTTTAGCAAGTGCATCATAAACTATAAAATCATTAACATGTGCGACATTACTCAAAGGTTGCATGGCATTATTTAAGAGAGCTTTTTCTAAAGCTGAAGTTTTGGGTTTGAAAACAATTTAGCGTTACAATACAAAAGCTCTCAAGAACAATTGGACAATGGTTATTTCTTGAAGAGACAAAGGGAGTGATTTCATTGGTTAACTGGTTTTTCACCAACTGTTCACATAAATGAAGGGCAACAAAGTCAAATCAACCACTGTGGTTTAGAACAGAGGACTAAAGTTACAAAAGATTTACCTAAGCGTCCAACTGGAGGGACAATACCGCACAATGATTTAAAACGCTTCATGAAAACTCAAAAGCTAATAAATTCCTATTAAATTTTCTTCCTTGTTTTCAAAGCGTAACCGGCAAATATAGAACCGTCAGAAATATATAAAAATCGAGAAGATCATTCCTCGTGACTTAAATAGATTATCTTCGACAAGGTATGCTCAATTCAAATTAGCAAGATAAACTAAAATTAGGCAAAAGTGGCTTTAAATATTCCAAACGAACACCGTAAAAATTCCTGCAACGAATAGGCGGTCGTCGCCAGAATCGAGAGGCAAATATCATCTTACAAATATTAAATCCTTTAATTAATCGATTGAAGTAGTATTTTGAACATACCAAACACGTTTTATAGCAAGCAAAGCATTAATGGGACCCTGTGACGTGGATGAAGAGTTTTAAAAGGATTTGCATTTATCGAAAGGTCTGCTTACGTAAGTTCTTACCCGAAAGATCCTGGAGTTTAGAAAACAACATGTTATGCAGATTTCCGCCTGAGAGAAGAGGGCTTTGTGAGGGAGTAGCAAAATCCAAAATAAAAATGGATAACTTTTACTTTAAGTTTCTCAAACCAGACGATCCGAAAATCTCGTAAATTTGGTTCCCTGTGAACTCAACAAATGTATCAAACTATCCCAAGTTTACATCTAAACAAAATATCAACACATTTCAAATAACTTGATCACTTATCAAATTCATCACTTGTCGGCAAATTTAAAAAAAGTAGTTCATTCTGTGAATAGCCACAAATTACTGCGCTGTATAAAATGATTTTAACTAAATCACGAAATTCTCGCTTGCATTCACGTTAGAAATTACTTTTTAAAACCCTTTTCAGCCATTTTGGCCACGCTCAAGTTACAAAAGGCAACTTAAAATACTAAATAAAATGGACAAACATCTGATCTTACCTGTCAACCGAAAAGCATTGCAGCCATTTCACTCAGAGGTTAAACTTTCGCAAGCGGTATAATCTTTAAAAATCACAAAAACATAATTTTAAGTCAAGCGACTAACATTAAATTGAGCGACGAGTGCTTGGCGTTTGAAATGTAAATCGTTTAAGAGGAATCATACAATACCAATTCCGATGAGATGCTACGACCACGAAACAGTTTTTTATGCACGTAGCGTTGGTTTTGCTTGGGTGATAAGCAATATACAAATCTTTCACCGAATGTGACAAAATTAGAAATTCAAATCGCGCAGCTATGTTTGTTAATCATAACATTACATATTCTTCGATCACTCATGTAAAATTACTAGTTTTGGCTTTCAGACAGAACGAGATGCGTTCATAAAATGTTCAACATGTTTAAATGACTTTATAGAATCATTCATCAAAAGACTTCCGACAGAAAGTGAGAATTTCCTGAGGTCTTCTGGATTTTACAATTCACGCCATACACTTTCATAGATGCTTGAAATACCAATTGGTTCAAGACGAAGATAATAAAAAACTATAAAACGCAGTGCAAACCTCGTCAAACTTCGATCTGTTGATTCCAACAACTCGTCCTACTCGATACAGTCCCGTTCGCAGTAATTGATCCGTTTTTCGCTTCAAACTTGAAGATTTTACAGCAGTTAAAACCGGACGAATGAAAAACATGCGAGCTTCAAAAGGGTCGGGCGGGATCTGAGCCGCACTGTCCGACCAATCAGCAACAAAACTGACCAATCAGACAGGCCCATTATCTTGTCACGCTTGACACGGAATGTCATACTGCACCTTCGTAGGTCAGCGACCTGAA